ACCTGATCGCTTGTTACCCCTTAAAACTTCAGTGTAGATTTCCTAAGTACAAGACCACTCTTCCACATAACTTCTAGATGACCAGCAGCATCAAGGAATAACATTCATCCAATTTATTTTTTTGTATTTTATTATATTTTATTTTTGGCTGTGTTGGGTCTGCGCTGCTGCGCGGGCTTTCTCTAGTTGTGGCGAGTGGGGGCTACTCTTCGTTGCGGTGCACGGGCTTCTCATTGCAGTGGCTTCTCTTGTTGCGGAGCATGGGCTCTAGGTGCGTGGGCATCAGTAGTTGCAGCATGTGGGCTCAGTAGTTGCGACACGTGGGCTCAGTAGTTGTGGCATGCAGGCGCTAGGGTGTGCAGGCTTCAGTAGTTGTGGCACACGGGCTTAGTTTCTCCATGGCATGTGGTATCTTCCCAGACCGGGGATCGAACCCATGTCCCCTGCATTGGCAGGTGGATTCATAACCACTGTGCCACCAGGGAAGTCCCCATCCTATTGATTGATGTCCCAATCATGACCTGAGAATCCAATCCAGGATCATGTGTTGAGTGTAGTTGTCATGTCTCTTTAGTCTCCTGTCAGTTCCTCAGCCTGTCCTAACCTTTTATACTAAAAATAATGAATTTGCAACAGTACCTCTGATTGCAACCCAATAGCACTGAGTTTATTCTAGCCTTTCCCCTCTCCTTCCTTGTAACTTACTCTTCTCGAGGCCCATTAATCTCCATGCATTTACTAACTATATTTTGAAAAAGATTCGATCAAACTAGGATCTTCTGACCATCCTTAACTTACCGATCTGTGGGAGTTGCACGGAGGGTCTAGAGGGAGCAGATGTTGTTATCCATTAAATATAGCAGTTTTCAACTTGAATTTAACTTTCAACTTTGGCTGCATATTAGAATCATCTGGGAGATATTTTCAAATACCCATCCCTAACCTACACCCCAGATCAATTAAATCCCAATCTCTAGAGGTGAAACCCAGTCGTCAATATTTCTTAAGCTCCCCGATTGAGTCCAACGTGAGTCAGAGTTAAGAACTAACAAAGCAGATTTCTACCTTTATGAAGTGGCTTATATGATTAGATTATTAGTTCAAATTATATTTTTCAAAGGTAGTCTATAGAAGATAGCGTCAAAATGGAAACTATTGGGAGAGTCTCACATCTCCATTTTAAACTTAAAGGCTTAAAGTATTTTGTTTGGGTACTTAACAGGCATTTTGTCCCTTGAAAATGTTGTACCCAGCAAAGACCTGATGACGAATGTGAAATCCTGGCTAAAAATTTGTGCTGTATTTGATTTGCCCTCGAGCAGCACTTCTCAAACTTTAATGTTCATACGAATCACTTGTATCTTGTTAAAAAGTCGATTCTTATTTAGCAGGACTGGGGTGGGGTCTGAGAGACTTTATGAAGTGATGCTAAAGTTGCTGGTCTGGAGACCATGCTTTGGTGGCAGGACCCCAGCGTCTCTGCCCTAATCATTTAGTCAATGAGTCTTAGTTTGAGGGGTGTAATGAACATCTCTTTAGGCCTGATAAAACCTAGGGACTTTCCCCAGAAAAAAAGAGTACACATGCATGTATACACCTAAGCATATAATTTCGGGGATCATGCATTCATTCAATGAATACCTATTTATGAGTACCGAGTATTTTTCTTGGTGCTAAAGATAGAGCAGTGGATGCCCCCACCTCGTGGAGTTTTCATTGTGGTGTCAGGGGGACAAATCACCAAGTAAGTAAACAGGCATGTCAGGTAGTGAAACGTGCATCAGAACAGGGTCCACTGGTCGAGTGATGGACGGATTGGGTTGCGGGAGTGCGGGACTGGCTCTGTTAAACCGGTCCGTCGGTGGAGATATCTTGACTATCAGAGAGCAGAAGACCAGTATCTGGAGGAAAAGTATCCCAGGCAATAAGCTTAGAGGGCCTAAAGTAGAAATGAGCTTGGCATTTTCAAGTGGCTGGTGTGCCGGGAACAGAGCCAGTGAGGGGGAGTGACAGAAGGTGACCTCAGAGGGGCGGAGGGGCCAGATCATGCAGGGCCTTGTACGTCAAGGCGAGGAGGCTGCTTCCACCCCGTCCATTTGTCCAAGCCTTTGTTTTTCGCGGTACGCGGGCCTCTCACAGCTGCGGCCTCTCCCGTTGCGGAGCACAGGCTCCGGACGCACAGGCTCAGCGGCCATGGCTCACGGGCCCAGCCGCTCCGCGGCATGTGGGATCTTCCTGGACCGGGGCACGAACCTGTGTCCCCTGCATTGGCAGGTGGACGCTCAACCACTGCGCCACCAGGGAAGCCCAAGCCTATTTTTATTTTATTTATTAATTTTTTAAATAAATTTATTTATTTATTTTTGGCTGCGTCGTGTCTTCATTGCTGTGCGCAGGCTCCTCATTGCAGTGACCTCTCTTGCCGCAGAGCATGGGCTCCAGGCATGCTGGCTTCAGTAGTTGTGGCTCACGGGCTCTAGAGCACAGGCTCAGCAGGTGTGGCGCAAGGGCTTAGTATCTCCACGGCACATGGGATTTTCGCAAACCAGGGCTCAAACCCATGTCCCCTGCATTGGCAGGCAGATTCTTAACCACTGCGCCACCAGGGAAGTCCCTGTAAAAGCCCATTTTTAGACCCTAAAGGAACCACAGCCTCCACTTTAAGAACCCCAGACTGAGAAGCTAATTTAGGAACTAAAGAAAAAAAAAATCTTTTGGGGATTAAAGGCTCAAAGAATCTATCTGAAAATCCAGAAGCAGGAGGGACGTAGGCTCAGGACAGAGCCCTTCTCTGGACCCTCCGAATGTGCTGTGGTGACTCGAGTGTGCTACCGGCCACAACAGCTTGCTGAGTTATTCTAAGTTTAAATTCCTATTTGTGAGCAAAATTTTACAAAGAGGCCTCTAGTCTTCACCCGGTCTCTGCCCACTGCAGAATGCTGGGACATACCAGGCCTGCCCAGGATGCACTCAGAAGGCTTGGCATCTCTTTTCTTAGTTCTCCACCTTCAAATGGCCCATAATGGCTTTGTGTCAGCATCAGCTTAGTTGGCTAAGTTGTTGTGACAGCTCGGATGTGTCTTTATTCAACGTTTTACTCTGCTTTGGGGACCTGCCTAGGGTGTGGCCATCTGAGTTTGGGCAGTCTTCATTTCTGAAAGTGCCTCTTAAATGGCAATTGTCTTTTGACTCTCCTGTGTTGAGAGCTGGCTAGAGACTGTCGCAGTCTGTAAAACAGCTGCCTGATCAGGATAAAGAGGATTTTGATCGATGCTTTCATTTTCCGAGAGATCCTCTTAGGCCCCTAGATTATAGGAAGAAAAAATGCACTGGCATTCTGCTTTCAAAAATGATTTCTAATTCATCCCTTCCTTGAAGTGAAACAGGAAATAAAGAATTTAAAACCCCAATTCTAAGTTGACAGTGGATGCATGGAAACAGCACTGGACCACAATCCCGCTGGCTGACCCTTGGAGTGGTTAAGAAAGGCAGCTCTGGCCTGTGCTGGGTCTCAGCTTCGTCGTCTATAATGAAGATATTGGATTTCACGAGCTTCTACATCAGGGTCAGCCGTGTAAGAGATCCTCCCTTGAAAAGAACATGCCACTCCCACCCCTACACCACACACACCCAAACAGTAAAACTTTATTACATACACACACATCCCTAAAACAATCAAACTTTTTCATTGTACTATATTTTGCTTTACCAGTTTATCCCTTGGAAAATTGTTCTGTACCTATTTTGTAAGTTGAATGCTCGTCCCTCATTTTGTCAGGTGACAGTGTTTCGGGGGAGAGAAAAGGGGGTTCTGCTCTAAAACTTTATTCAGCAACCAAGTTCGACAGGGCAGCCTGACAGGGCCTCTAGTCTAGAAATAATGAGGGGGCAGGGGGCCACCTTATGAGAGGAAAAAAAATCCCAAACACCCTATGACAAGCAGAAACCTACTGTCTCCTCCCAATAGAAAGTAAACCCTTGGGTCCAGATCTTTTTTCATTCACGGCTGTCTCTAGTGCCTACAACAGTGCCTGGCACATAGCAGGTGCTCAGGAAATATTTGTTGACTAGATGGGGACAGGTATTAGCCCTTCAACTTTGTCCTTTTTTGTGTTTTTTTTTTGGCCGCATCACGTGGCATGCGGGATCTTAATTCCCCAGCCAGGGATTGAACCCTCACCCCCTGCACTGGAAGCATGGAGTCTTAACCACTGGACCACCAGGGAAGTCCCAGCCCTTCAACTTTGATGACTTGTAACTGTGCCCCTCTTCCCATGGGAAAGATGCCCGGAAGCAGGCCAGGCAGGCATGGGGGTTCGGGGAGAAACAAACCTCCAGCTTTACTCCCTCGTCTATGAGCCATGAGCATTTTGAGACTGAATTTCAAAAATCTCCGAGAGAGGAGGTAGAAAAAAAGCCTGTCCCATTTTTCCCAACCCACCTACCCCTTCTCCCCCCACCACTCCCCGTTAGTAGGGTCTTGATGTGTTACAGTCCATGCTTGCCCCAACAGACATGACTCCTAAGAATCCTATCATGAATGATTCGTAAATGTAAGCATCCTTGACTTATCTATTATATAAATCCAGATGTTTATTAAATGTTTAAATCAAAATTATTTGTATTAAGGGTGTAGATCTCACATCTTCAACAGTCTCCTGCAGTTAGTACATCTTTGCTCATACATTGAAAGACTATGAGGTTTGAACTAAAAACATTTTTTAAATGACTTAAAATTCTCATAGTTCTTTCAACAATGTCTTCCTGATACAGTAAACCACAGTGAAAGTGACTTTAACAATGGTGGACCATTTTGGATACCATTTGTGTGTAAAAAAGACACAGAGTTTGAGTCTCTTTGGGAAATCAGATGCTAAATAGCCCCTAGAGCCCAGTAGCTGTTATGAAAGCAGAGGAATGGTAGCCACCTCCCCATTGGCCGGGGGACTTACCCAGATGTCTGGCTTTCACATAAAAGACAGGAAGCACTGAAGTCAGTCTCCACTTCCACTGAAAGGGCAAAAGCAAAAACAGCAAAAAGGAAGATGGCAAAAAGACTATTGTTACTTTTCCTCCCAGGTCTTGTGTCCATATGTGCCGTGCATGGAATATTTATGGACAGACTTGCTTCCAGGAAGCTGTGTGCAGATGACGAGTGTGTCTGTAAGGACTTTTTTATGCCTTTCCTTACCTTTCTATTATATAAGCAAAAAGAAATATGCAGCAATAGCATAAAATCTAATTGTACTTGTAAGTGAATTTTCTCTAATGTGCATGGGATTAGCATTGTTTCTCCTGGTCTGTGCCTTTTGTGTCTTACCATGAAGAATTCACTTAGCTAAGATTCTGCTGGGTGCTGCTTTAATACCTTAGTTATCTTCTGGAACTGAACATGAGCTATAAATTAGGAGGTATTAGTCACTCTGATTTCCTAGTTTTCTTATATGCTCTGCCTTTTTGCTGTGATAAAATCCAGGAGCCAATGTTTTTTTCTTCTAGATAAACGTTTCAGTGTTTTTTTCCTTCCAGATACTATTTCTCTGGCCCGAGCTCAAGAAGATTACAGTGCCCCAGACTGTAGATTCATTAACGTTAAAAAAGGGCAGTGGATCTATGTTTACTCAAAGCTGGTAAAAGAAAATGAAGCTGGAGAATTTTGGGCTGGCAGTGTAAGACGAGATTATTTTAAATATATACACATCTTGACATATGTTTCTCTTAATTTTTCCTCTGTTACCTATCTGCAATGCCTTTTAATATTAAAACTAGCTGTTAAGAACAATATAGATGCTGCGGATACAAGTGCAAAAATTCATATATATTTGCTTTTATTGCATTTTGAAGAAACAAAGAAAATTTCATAACAAAACCAAATGTAGGTTTATTTGATGGTTTGGCAAGAAATCTAGTCAAACACATGGGGGCTTGAACATCCCAAAGAGTTTGAAACTTATTCAAAAATATTTGAGTGGACTTGCCAAGTAAAAGGCATGTGTACTGGCAGTCAGGCTACGTTTCAATATTTTTAAGGAAACTTTAGCACCGTCTTTAATTCCAAAGAATCTGCTTTCTTCAGTTAAAACATGCAGGGGTGGGCCCTAGGGAGGGATGAAGCCGGATTGATTTACTGTCCTCCACTGCAGCTGCAGCTCCAGCACCAGAGATAAATTCTCAAGTAATAAAGAATTAAATCTTAGATTCACTTAAGACCTGTTCATTTGAATTTTTAAAAATAGAGAGAGTCCTTTAAAAGTCCTTTAAAATAACAGTGTCTGTTTACCTTTTTTAAAAAGGTACAGACTTTATTTATGGGTTCCAAAAAAGATTTCAGGCAGCTCACAAGATTGCACAGAGAAATGCTAAAGTAGGGAGACCAGTAAGATTAGGCCACAAAAGAACACGCACACAGTCTCTGTGGGTTGACTTCGTTGCTGTGAGCAAACTTCAAATTTGGGTCTGAGCCCCCCAGAATCCAGACTGAGAAGCAAAGCACTGGCAGTTATGTAATTCTCATGGATAGCAAAGAGGATGCCTGAGGGTTTCTAAAAGAGGACTCACATCAGCTTTCCCCTCACTGTTACACTTCTGGGCACTCAGGTTTATGGCGATCAACCCGAGGATGAGATGGGAACTGTGGGTTATTTCCCCAGCAACTTGGTCCAGGAGCAACACGTGTACCAAGAAGCCACCAAGGAAGTTCCCACCACGGTAAGCGTCCTGGAGGTGCCAGGGAAGGACTCAGATCTCAAGGTAATGTAGATGTAGGCAGGTGTGAATAATGCATCATGCAACTTACAAGGTGCATCAAGCAAAGCCCCCCGACACTTTCAGTGGTGACATCTCCAGACAACAAGATTTGGGGGAGTAGTTATACCTACTATCAATGTTGAAAGGTGAGTGAAATTTCTATACCAACCCCCTTTGTTTTAGATGCAAGTTATCCTGGAAAGGGCTCCATGTCACAAAGAAAGAAACCAACATAATATTAACTGACTCTTACTGATGGGTACGCTTGTTGACTAAAGACTTGGGCTGAGAAAAATATCAGCACCTGTATTTGACAAAATCAAAACATTCTGGAAAATTTTTGAATGCCTACTTTTGTGATAGATAGACTCTACTTATGCATGAAAAAAAAGATGTACTCTTCCTAATGCCCTGGGGTCTTGTATACCCAGAACAGAAATAAAAGATCCCCTTTGAGCTACTTTGCAAGGTGGTTGTTTTGAAACGATTCTCCTGGAGCTGACTGCTGTGCAAAATAACTTCAAAACATTGCCCAACCTACATAAATGCGACTCACTTGTCATCATGTCTTAGCATTGAGCTTGAGTGTGTCAAATAACCATAAATTAAGAGTGTATTTGAGAATCTTCACTTAAGTAGTTTTTGACTTAAAGTTTTTGACTTAAAGTAATACTTGTGTCATACTCTTTGGGGTTCAGTATTTTAAATCCAAATTTCCCTTTGATGACATACGATTTGAAATAAAGAATCTACATCTGTTTTCTGACCCTGCACGCTCAGCTCAATCTTTTTTTGCTTTTGTTTTTTTCCAGGATATTGACTTCTTCTGCGAGTAAGAAATTAGACAAATTTGCAGATAGAAAGGAAACACCAAAAACAAAGAAAAAAGCGAAAATAACCAAAAAATACACGTCCCTAATTTCTGACTTTTGTTTTTTGTTTTGTTTTGTTTTGTTTTGTTTTAACATCTTTATTGGGGTATAATTGCTTTACAATGGTGTGTTAGTTTCTGCTTTATAACAAAGTGAATCAGTTATACATATACATATTTTCCCATATCTCTTCCCTCTTGCGTCTCCCTCCCTCCCACCCTCCCTATCCCACCCCTCCAGGCGGTCACAAAGCACTGCTTGGGGCTGGAGATGGCAGATAAAGGGGAGGGGAGGGCGGGAGGGGAGACGAAGGAGGGGGAAAGGGCAGGGGGGAGGGGGTGTTCTCCGAGCCTGGTCTTCCCACCCACTGGGACAGGGTGACCTTTGGCTAAGTGGATGAATTGAAAGTAGAGAATTTTTTTTTCAGCCTAGAGAATCTTCTCTTACACAGGGATCATATAGAAGATAGTTCATTTATAGTTGTTTCTAAATAGTAATTCTTCCAAGCTCTTTGGAGCCCCATATAAACTTAGGTCATAGGTCTTTTCTTTGGACATGACGTTTTCTACTTATTTGTCTCTCTGGCCAGTTGGAGTATTATAATGTACACAAAGGGCCTATGGCATCAAGGAGTATTCTAGGATTGTTGTTACTTTTAATATTTGATGCCTTTGGGATGTGAAGCTGTTGGGGAAGAAAAAGAGCTGTTTGGACTCGTAGATGTTTGGACTATGTCTCTAAATTTCTCTTTAAAAAAATGTCTCACAAATGATTTCAGTTGATTCCTTTTACCTTCTAAATGATCAACTTACCTCTCCCCAAATTTTAAATAATGTTAAATTTTAATTTTAATAAATTAAAACATTTAAATTTTAGTAAGTGGTGATGGGGTGCTTTATGAAATATTTGCAGTGGAATAGTTTCCCCTTATTATGTGCTGTTACTGTATATTATTCAATCTTCAAGTCGAAATATACAGAAAAAAAAAAGTCTGTGGGTTATTTTCTCCACTTCTATTCCAACTTCGAATTTCCTCTTCCTGTGCAAATTCCCCCATGAAGGGTGATGTGTTAAGAAATCTGGTGAGGGGATACAGGTTTGGTGGTCCTGATGGACCCACAAGTTTTTCTACATCTAACTGAAAATCGGCTTTGATTGTGTATTACTAATGTAATCCTTTTGATGTAGTCATGAGCTTTTGTTTGTTTACACATAATGTAACATGTTAAAATGCCTGTACTACACTCAAAAATTTTTTCACAATTTCTGAGTTTAAAAAATTTTTTAAAAACACTTTCACCTTGAGGAATAGAAAGTCTGGGAGGTGGGGTTTGGGAATGGGGTTTGTTCCTCAGTTTTCTGGGGGGTCTGAGCATCCCACAATCATGAAGAGAAGGGCATTTAGGACAAGTTGGAGGCTTGGACCCCAGAGTCATTTTCCAGCTGTGCCCATTGTGACTTTAGGTGAATATGTTTTTGCCAAACTCTTAGGGAGGTCAGTCAAATAAAATGGTACCCCACCCCCAAGAAAAAGCCCCCTAAACCCAAACCCACCTACCATTTTTTTTCTATCTCACTTTATTCCATAAAAGATTTCTTGCAATATCTAGAGCTCTCAACACAATTTTAAGCTAAGAGGCATTTATCCAACCTCTGTTTCTGCCTCTTACTTGCTGGCCCTCCATTCCAGACACCCCATCACCCCTCGAGACACCCAGCACCCCCATTGTGCCCTCACTCTGTCCAAAGCCCCTATCTGTCTGGCTTCAGGCATCCAGCCTGGAGTGCCCCAGGCACAGGGTTTCCAGCTATAGGCTCCCTCCTGGCCCAAATCTGCTCCCACCCCCAGGACTGGTCTCATGTAGGAGTTCGAGGTCATTGATTGATTTAAATCTCCTGGGGGCTTATCTGCAGTAAAAGAATGAAAGCACTTGCAGGAACTTTAAACACCATCTTTAGGCTCTGGGAAAGCAAAATGCCGTCCCTGGACCAGTAGCAGGATGGCCTCACCTGGAAGCTGATTAGAAAGCAGAGTCTCAGGGCCCACTGCAGACCTTCTGAATCAAAATCTACATTTTAACAAGACCCTCAGGGATTCATGGACACATGTAGGAAGGGAAAAACTTCCTTCTACTCTTCTAGGCTCTGTGGCTGGACATAAGAGTTAAAACTGGTGTAGGACAGATGAATAGGGGAAAAGCATATACATTTAATTCCGTAAGACTTCTGCTTATGGAAGAATAAGGAAACACTACGGTGAGTGGACCTGAGTAGCGTAGACAAGTCGATTCCATAAGCCCACTTAGGGCGAGCGGGAGACTGCCTAGAGCAGGTCTACTCAGAGTGAGTACCAGCGCAGGACGAGGCCAGTACAGAAAGCCATCGAAGGCAAAAAGACCCAGGGCATGGTGGACGCTGGCAGGCAAAAACCTGAAATCTTGCTTAAGGGATGTGTGGAACTGGTGGCTCAGAAATATTGGGTGATGAGAACAGAGCCCAGGGCACCATGGAAGAATGTGGGATGTACGTGTCAGTGCCGCCGTTTCCTAGCTGTGCCTGCCTGAAGATGGTTCTAACCTCTCGGGACCTGTTTTCTTGACTATAAAAGACCTTAGGGACTTCCCTGGCGGTCCGGTAGTTAAGACTCCGTGCTTCCACTGCAGGGGGCTCAGGTTCTGTCCCTGGTTGGGGAACTAAGATCCCACATGCCGTGCAGAACGGCCAAAAAATAAAAGGGGTTAATGACAACTTCGTGGCTGAGTTGTTGTAATTTTTAAATACAACGTGTGCACAGGGTCTGCACATGGTAGGATCCCTACGTGGCAGCCACTATTATCTGACCCAAGAGGGTTGCATGAGAATGGCCGTCACTCCTGGAGTTGTGCTCTAACCCTCCAGATGCTTCACTGATCAGAAACTGCAGCTCCCCATTGGACCATCTGAAACGTCTACATCAAAGATATTTGTAACATTTTCCAGATTGTGTACTTTTTTGTAGTTTCATTTAAAAAAAAAATCTCCTGAAATTCTCATAGTCCCAAGTCATTCCACCAGCCATTCAGGGATATGGTGTACAATATACATGTATAATTTAGATTTGAGATCCCAGTTCTGGCCACAGCCCTTCATCAACACCAGCATGTGAGGGTCACCACACCTTATAAAGATCAACATATATAATTTGCTCACCCATGAAACCTAGAGCCAGATGGGTTTCAGCTGTAAACTAATCGTATTTAGGCTCAGCCAAGTAGGGTTGTCTCATTTGTATATCGCCATCCTAGCAGGGGTGTAAATAACAATGCCTCTTGGGAAATCCACCTCAGAAAGGGGGTGCCCCACCAGAGCCTGAGTACTTCGGGTCCGTACCTTGATGGCACTTGCTGTATCTGCAGAGCCGTATGCTGTCTCTCTGCTCTCTGGATGCTGGAAGTTCAGGTCTCTGGCCAGACATTTTGACCCTCACTCTGTTGAGAGCCTTGTACAAGGCCCAAAGCACATGACAGTGCAGGCAGCCACTGGGAAGAGAGAACACCTCCTCGGATGACAACAGAGACCCAGTGGAGACTGAGGTACTGTGGTTTCCACTCTTTCTTGAAAAAGGTATGCATGAGCAGAATGTATCCTAATGAGGAGGTTATTCTGTATAGATTACTAGAGTACATGATGTTATATTGGATACACTTTTGCTATGTCAAATATAATAAATACAAGTAATCCAAACAGGCTGCACTTGGTTCATGCCTCATGTTATGTCAAAGCCAGTGGAATTCCTGCAATGGGAATCATTGTAGATTTCAGACCCCTTGTGACTCTTCCATATCATGTGGGACGAAGGCTCAGACTTCTGTTGTTTGTGTCACCATGTTTGTGTCATTTAACCTCTTGCTTCCCAATTTGCACATCTACACGTGGGAATAATAATGCCTTTGAGGATAATAATAATTAACTTTGAGGGTAATTATGAGAATTAAATTAAATGAGATAGTGTGTGTAAAATCACACAGCACAGTGCACACTACACAGTAGGCGTGTAATAAATGCTAGTAAAATTAACTCTTTTAATTTAAGAGGCTTTTAAAACATTTTTGAAACCTTGGAAGAACTACAGATTTTTTTTAAGTGAACCAAAAGTATACCTTGAGCATCTTTTCTTTCCAGAACACTTCTGTTTTTCTCCCTAGGCTTTTTGAAGTTGTTTGCAAGACATTCTGCAAATACTTAGCACAAAGATGCAGACACACAGGCAAGCGCATGTGCGCGTGCGTACACACACACACACACACACACACACACACACACACACAAGCTTGACAAACGTTATAATTTAGTGTCTGAGATGGTACCTCTTCCCTGCCTTCATTACCAGGGAAATGTCTCTGGTGCTCTGTCAAAGAAACATTTTAAAACATCTGGGCACCAGGGAGATATTGTCCCCTTATAAGCCTCAGTGCTCTCTTTCTTCAAATTCTTCCCTCTCTCACCCTCCTGTGTCCTCAAAGGATGTTGCAAATGGCAGGAGGCCATCAGACTCTCCCTGCTATCTGATGCCCAGCCAAGAGCGACTTCACTTGATTTCAGCCGCTCCTTCTGAGTGCCTGCAATTGTGACGTATCCTTGGGATGACTAATAAATTAGTGGCTAGAGGTCTTTTGGGGTAAATCCCTTGCAGTCCTGCAGAAACTATTAAGGTTGACCTAATTAATGAGTCCATTGTTCTGCAAGGCACCTCATTTTCAGAGTACAGGCTTCAGAATTCCCTCTCTTGGCTATTTCCCTGGAACAAACATTCAGCAAAAGGCAAGAAAAGGCAATTTAAGGCAAGGCTTTGATACCTGCTGAAAGCACTGTGAGCTCATCTCTCCCCACCACTGGGCAGCATATTACTAATATGTAATAGCGTTCCTTTTTGTTAAAAGTCATACCTCTTGTTCAAGGGGCTGGTGGCTGGGCGAGCTGCCTTTTTTTTTTAAGTAAATCTCTCTCTCTTTTTTAAAAAATATTTATTTATTTTATTTATTTATTTTCCTTATT